CACAAGGACCAGTGACATAACAAACCAGGATTCACTTCGGGACTGAAGGACATGGATAGGTTGAAGCCGACTTCAAACTTGGAACATGTAAGTTGTGGACTTTATATGCAGTTTTACTGTTATACAGGCCCCCTTCACCCCATACTCCCGCAGCACCTCCCACAGTATCTCCCGGGGGACCCGGTCATAGGCCTTCTCCAGATCTACAAAGCACATGTAGACTGGATGGGCATACTCCCAAGCCCACTCCAGGATCCTTGTGAGACTGAAGAGCTGGTCAGTTGTTCCACGCCCGCGACGAAAACTGCACTGTTCCTCTTCGATCTGAGGTTCGACAATCGGCCAAACCCTCCGTTCCAGCACCTTGGAGTAGACTTTACCGGGGAGGCTGAGAAGTGTGATACCCCTGTAATTGGCACACACTCTCTTTTTGAACAGGGGAACCACCACCCCAGTCTGCCACTCCTTGGGCACTGTACCTGACTCCCATGCAATGTTAAAGAGACGTGTCATCCAAGACAGCCCCTCCACACCCAAAGCTTTTAGCATTTCTGGGCGGATCTCATCAATCCCTGGGGCTTTGCCACTGTGGAGTTGTTTGACTACCTCAGTGACATCCACCAGGGAAATTGACGAGAATCCCCCATCAGCCTCGAGCTCTGCCTCTACTAAAGAGGGCGTGTCAGTCGGATTTAGGAGTTCCTCAAAGTGTTCCTTCCACCGCCCAATTACCTCCCCAGTTGAGGTCAACAGGGTCCCATCCTTACTGTACACAGCTTGGACGGTTCCCCCGCTTATGAGCATCCTTATGCTCGAACATGGTGTTTGTTATAGACAATCCATGACTAGTACAGAAGTCTAACAAACACCCTTTCGGGTTCAGATCAGGGGGGCCATTCCTCCCAATCACGCCTTTCCAGGTATCTCCATCATTGCCCACATGCGCGTTGAAGTCTCCCAGCAGAACTATGGAGTCCCCTACTGGAGCCCCATACAGAACTCCATTCAGGGTCTCCAAGAAGGCAGAATACTCTAAACTGCTATTTGGTGCATATGCACAAACAACAGTCTGAATTCCCCCCCCCAGTACCCGAAGGCGTAGGGAGGCGACCCTCTCGTTCACCGGAGTAAACTCCAACGTAGCGGTGCTCAGACGGGGACTTGTGAGTATCCCCACACCCGCCTTGCGCCTCACAACTTGAGCAACTCCAAAGAAGAATAATGTCCATCCCCTATCAAGGAGTACGGTTCCAGAACCGAGACTGTGCGTGGAGGTCAGCCCCACCAGATCTAATTGGTAGCGCTCCATCTCCCGCACAAGTTCCGGCTCCTTCCCCCACAGAGAGGTGACGTTCCACGTCCCCAGAGCCAGCCTCTGCCGCCCGGGTCTGGTCCGTCGAGGTCCCTGACCTTCATTGCCACCCATGTACCAGCGCACCCGACCCCTGCGGATCTTCCGATGGATGGTGGGTCCAAAGGATGGCGAGGGGGGTGCCACGTTGCTTCTTCGGGCTGAGCCCGGCCGGGCTCCGTGGCAAACCCGGCCACCAGGCGCTCGCCGACAAGCCCTCACTCTGGGCCTGGCTCCTTCCTCCGGGCAGGGTCTCTCCTCCTCTTCCTCAATTTGTCATCAAGAGTCTTTGTGAACCATTCTCAGTCTGGCCCCTCACCTGGAACCACTTTCCCTTGGGAGACCCTACCAGGAGCACTAGGCTCCCGACAACACAGCCTCCAGGTTCACCGGGACACGCAAACCTCTCCACTACGATAAGGTGATGGTTCCCGGAGAGGAAAGTCAAATGCTCTGTGTAATTCATTTTCCATCTTCTATACTTAATAAAAATTATTTGTTACAGTTGTTTTGCACTTTTTGTAGCCATTGCTACAAGAGCTCTACAACTTGTATTGTGACAATAAATAAACCTACCTACCTACCTAAGAGGTAACAGCTTGTTAGCTCCGCTAGGCCAAATTGTAAATTGAGTAATGGGATGTTATGAATTAGCTAACTGAGCAAGAGACATGTATGGAACTGTAAATATCTTTGCTCAGTAGTGTTTCCTTTATTGTGCAGAATATGTCAAGGTGCAGCTTAAATTACATAGGTCAAGACATGATAAGCATTGCTGACCATTGTTTAACACAGGTAACCCCTCTGTAAATACCTGTTGCACCAGTTTGGACCCAATACTATGGTCTAACTACTTAGAAATATAGAGATAGATTCAAGAGTAACTACCTTGGGTAGGTCATGAAATGTTGTTCTGTTATTTTGGCATCACCTTGACATTAGTTCTGTGATCACCACACACACTGTTAAATACAAGCTTCTCCTAATTCAAGACTAAATGTATCTGCAGGTATACATGACTGACCCGAAGAAACATAACAGTATAATGTTCAAATAACAGTGACTGCCATGTTTTACAGATCATCTGAGTGACATGGTGAAGCTCACGTTTGATGAGATGTTCCTGGACCCATCACATTCTACTCAGTCTGAAAACTCAGGATGATATTACTGGGCAGATGTCATGCTTCAGTTAAGCACCTGAAGTGAAGACAACACAGTGGCCAGCAGCAGCAGAAAGTCTTTGTATCCACAGGAAGACGCCTCAGGATCACCACTGTGATCTCAGAGCTCCGTTACCAGCAGACACATCTTCAGTATACGAGAAACGCTCGATTTGTGTTTCCATTTCATTGGCTATGAATAAAGTGATATGTTTTTAAGAGGGCTTTGGTCTTTTTAAATTTAATGTTAAGGGACCTGGGGTTATAGAGAAATATAATTCTTCACAAAGGTTTTCTGAAAAACGTATTTAAATTCGTGCATATAGAAGGCTTGGAAAACCTGGTCCATCTCACATCTTTACTGTTTTACTCCCCCCGTGAGTTTGCCTCATTCACTCTGGTCGGTGTTTACATTCTGCAACACGCCAACATGCACGACGCACAGCGCATGCTGGCCGACCAGATACTGTGTGTGGAGCAGACAAACACGGACTCCTTTGTTATTGTTCTTGGTGACTTTGACAAAGGAAACCTCAGCCAAGAACTCCCCAAATACAGATGGTTTATTAAGTGTCCAACACTTTGGATCACTGTTACACCACAGTTAGCAGTGCCTATCACGCTGTTACACGTGCTCCACTGGGACACTCTGATGATGTCATGGTCCACCTGATTCCTGCTTACAGACAGAAATTAAAACTCTGTAAACGACTGCTACCAACAATCTGGATGAGTTTAAAGAGACTGTGACATCCTACATCAGCTTCTGTGAGGACAGCTGTATACCAACACGCACCAGGGTGAGTTATAACAATGACAAACCCTGGTTCACAGCTAAGCTCAGACAGCTGAGGTTGGAAAAGGAAGAGGTGTTTAAGAGTGGTGACAGGGCCAGGTTTAAGGAGTCAAAGTACAGGTTCAGCAAGGCGGTGTGAGATGCTAAACAGCTGTATGCAGAGAGACTACAACACTAGTTCTCAAGGAATGACCTGCTTCTGTCTGGAGAGGATTCAGACAGATCACCAGCTACAAACCAAAATCCCCCCACTCCATGAACGACTCACGCCTTGCCAACGAGCTGAACCAGTTTTACTATTGCTTTGATAGGGTTCTACCGGGAGCTGAATTACCTCCGAGGTTGTCTCCTCTACAAAACAAACTGACCCGGTCATTAAAATATTAAAACACAGCCACATAGCAATGTTAGCGTTAGTCCTGTAAACAGCTAACAGCTGATCCAGGTCCGCCAGAGAACGCAAAGTAACTTTTCCTTTTTATTTACCAACAGAGCCGTGCTGCTGTTTCACAGCTCATGACTGGTGAACAACCTGCCGTGTTTGAGAGCGATGTGCTCATGTGTGTTTCTCTGTCTGCAGAATCAGGACCTGATGTGGCCCATTCTGTGTCCAGACTTGCCAAACTTTATATTTATATTATTTGTTTTATATTATTTATATTATGTGTTTATATTATGTGGTTATTTCTTTGTTCCTCTCTCTGCTGGAGTTCTTTTAAGAACTTGGTGGCTTGATCCAGATTATAATTAAATTGGTTGAATTTGAATATGAGTGTGTTTATTCTTATAGTGTATCAAGCTTATTACTTCTATATACATTAAGCCTTTATATGCCTGGTCTGGTTGTATACTCGGGAAAGATTGTGACAATGGAAGGATTTAGCCAGAGTAATGGATTGCATATAGACAACATATTTCTGTGTTTTTTACATGGTTTGAATTTGGTTGTGGCTCCATGGGGCTTTATAGAACCATGATAGAGAAAAATCAAGAGGTGAATTGGTGCATTATACTTTGTCAATTAGAGCAATCCAGGCAGCCTTCCGTGTTTGAGAACGGCGCTGTTTTTTAATCGCCCACAATAACCAGCCTAGTTCAAATGAACGAAATGACTCAAAAAAAGATTAGTTCATTTTAATGAACGAGATTTGAATGAACGAGCCTGTCAATAGAGTCGAACTTACTTGCCATCACTAGATTGCAGCTTACGCCTCCCATCCTGGCCACAAACTGTTTCAGACTCTCCCCTCTGGCAGGAGGCTGCGGTCCATCAGGACCAAAACCTCTCGCCACAAAAACAGCTTCTACCCGTCTGCAGCTAGCCTCATTAACTGACACTTATCAAATAATACAAATGTCTCTTCACATGTAAATATCATATCATGCACGAACCTGGCACATTGCACATATTTGTTGTTAATTGTAAATTGTTGTTGTTCCGTTGTTATTTTTATTATTATTTTTATTTTTTTATATTGTCAGTTGTATTATTTTTCTTCTTTTATTATTTGTACATCTATTTATGTCAGCTGTATGTTTGTCTATGTGTAGCAACTTCACACCAAAGCAAATTCCTTGTATGTGTAAAACACTACTTGGCAATAAAACTCCTTCTCATTCTGATTCTGATTCTGATTACCATGAAAATGTTTTGAAAGTAATTTTTAAATAGTGACTCAGTAAGCCAGACATCTCATTTCATTAACTTTATTATGGTGTTGTTGACAGATCACAATATAAATATGATATTCTTTGTAACAGTTTGAAGTATTTAAAACATGCCAATGATTGTCTGACAAAAACTTTAAGTGAAAATATCCAGGTTAATCTGAAACATTCACATGGTTCAGTAGCTGCAGATACTCTGATTACTGAGCTACTTTTCAAGTAAATAGTACACAGTAACATTACTTTGCAAGATCAAGTAATTCAGCTATGTCTATTCCATGCATGTTTCTGCCTCATGCTAAGTGTTACTGGTCTAAAGCAATCATCATAATCACTATTCTATCATTCTGATGACTTTGCACGTTTATGGGGTATCTTTTTACTAGAAATAATTACATGACCTATGTTTCACATCTATTTATTTTATATTGGACATCCTACCCGGACAATTACTATCGGCCTCAGTGTTGACATTCCACAAGCTACTGTGATACATGTAAGATTACATGCACACAACACATTACCTCTGTCTCTTCCAAACAAATGCATTCTACTCCACTGGGCTCTGGAGGTCACTGCTCACAAAATCAGGCCGCCTGTAAAGACAAATGTAAGAGGTGTATGTTGGTTTAGAGAGTTTTGCATAAATACTAAGCTAACATTATGTGACAGACAATTCAATAGCAATATCTACCTGAGGTAAATAGCTAGAAATAGTTTGAAGTAGTCCTCATATATTATACTGGAAACCTGTACTATCCTGGTGGTATGCCCCTGTAGTGGTTCTGTCTGGTCATCTGAAATTTGTGATTATGGCAACAGCTATAAAAACTCCAAAACAATTAGAAGAAAGAAGTTAGTGTATCATACTACAAACATTGGCATTTACATATTTACGCTGCACCTTGCCATATTCTGCACAGTAAAGGAAACACTACTGAGCAATAAAGATATTTAAACATGTCTCTTGCTCAGTTAGCCAATTCAAAACATCCCATTACTCAATTTACAATTTGCTAACAAGCTGTTACCTCTTAGGGTTAGGTAGGTTTATCTATTGTCACAATACAAGTTGTAGAGCTCTTGTAGCAATGGCTACAAAAAGTGCAAAACAATTGTAACAAATAATTTTTATTAAGTATAGATGGGAAATGAATTACATTACTGAAATAAAAACAGTTGCACCACGGAGAGAATTTACAACATAACTCTAACTTACATAAATGGGGTCTTTCTTACTTGTAATTGGTAGTCACTTGCCCCTTGTCCAAAAGAAGGTGAAAGTGTCCAGGGAGCTGAGGACAGGGGCTGGTGCTCTCAGGCTCACTGCCAGAAGGACCGGGTGGAAGCAGTAGTCCTCAGGTGGGTGGCCTGGAAACGGGACTGAAGCGGCGCTGGTGACCTCAGTCGGATGCCCTGGAAGCTGGACAGAGGGGCTGAGCAGGTCTGGATTCCGACCAGGAGTCACAGGTATTTGAGGCAGTCCATAACCCACTCAGGTACTGTTTCGAGGTTTAGAAAAGTTATGTTTTAAGGGCAGAAAACTCAGGATACAGGCAAAATCCAAAAACCCAAAACCCAGAGAAGGAGGCAGGCAAGGACACTTGACCGAAGACAAATGGGCAAAGGACATAGACACACCGACATAGACAAGAGAGGTGATTTAACTAGACACAGGTGAAACCAATCAAGACGGGAAAAACGCCAGGGGAGGAAGTGAAGTGGTCGGAAACAAGAGGAGAGGAAAATTTGGGAAAAACGGAATAAAAGAATACAATGACACAGTGACAAAGCAACACAAAGAACAAGAGTAAAACACAAAGACAGATGCATGCGTCTTTAGGTACACTGTAACTTTTACACAAAGATACACTGACAGCATGAGGCAATAGAGATCACTCAAGAAAACTAGCTTTTGGATTTATATCTCATTACCTTCCACATACACACACACCCAACAGGTGGACTGTGTCCAGAGGAACGATAGCCCCTGTCAGCACCCTGAGGCCCCAACAACCCCCACCATCCTTCCAGTGCATTGTGGATGCCTCCGTCCTGTTACGAAGCTCTGCGGGTCGAGTGTGTGCTTCCTGCCGTTTCCATCAGATTGGATGGAATGAGTGGTGACTATTCTAGTTTCCAGCTATCAACCATCCATCCAGTACGGGCAGCTGGGAGACGTTGCCTTCCGCAGGACAGATGGGATCATCCTGCTGGACTCAAACTTCTGTCTATTCTTCTCCCTCTGACTCCCCAAGCCTTCACTACCCTGCCTTACATCTACATCTGAATTTGAATCTAAATATGTGGAGGTATTTTGCATCATGTTCAGTGTTTTCTTTAGAGGTTTATTCTTTTCAGGGTGAAAGTGCAGCTTAAACAACATCAAGACTATCATGGGACACAAAAACCCCAACAGAATCCTTCAGCCCAACTATTTCTCTATTAAAGCACTCCATTCTCTAGCTCCAGGATTTATTTGTGAGCAAAACTACAGGCAGTCCCCCAGGTCTTGACCCAAAATTAGGGCCCCCAACATGTAGACCAGCCTTCCTGTCTTACAAATTCTGTGACTTTAAGTGGTCTCTCTGTTCCACGTCTATTTTTGCTCTGTGGATTCATTTGCATCATCTTTACAGATTTAACCTCTACATCTTTGTATTGGTCAAGGTATTTCTGTTTCTTTATTCTTCTGCGTTTTTGTCTGTTAAAAAAGTGCTATGCAAGGGGAATAATAATAACAATACTACTGCTACTACTACTACTACTAATTATATATATATATATATATATAAATACTATTACTACTGATAATAATTATAATTATTTAAAAGGCCTGTAGACCATATACTTATACTGAAAACGGTCAGTAAAGAGAAACTGTTCTTCTGATGGAAGGTTACTAAATGTTCTGCTGAGTGTATTAAACAGATACATATCAGTATTTAGAGAGAGACTGTGTTTGATTTATTCCAGAAGTGTTGCCTGGATTCACATACACACAGGAAAAAACATTAGATTATGCAGAATGAAGATGTATGAGACATATTTACTGTGCCCATTTACACACACACACACACACACACACACACACACACACACACACACACACACACACACACACTACATTGATACTAGATGTACAAGGTTCAGTACACACAACACACACATACACACACAGGCCTGTCATCACAGTGAATTGGACAGGGTTAGAAGCTTTCAGACATGATGCATTTGGCCTCGCTGCCTAGTCCTGCCAATTATGCAGCAACATACACCTAAACAAACCTGTAGCCCAAACATACCCCCCCCCTCCCCCCACACACCAAAAAAACAAAACAGGTTTAAACTGGACTTTGTAAGTGTACACAGTGGAGAACAAGAGGATTTTACAGTAACATGAATTGCAGAATCTTTCTAACATAGTCACCATCAAGCGCTACTAAATAAATATAGGGCTAGTGTTGTAGCTCTATTATTTGTAAATGTCTGTGGAGAGTTGTGACATTGTATTTCAACCTGTTTGTGTATACTTTACTTAACTGTATGTAAGAATTGTGAATGTAAAACAAAGTGAACCTTTGTATTGAGAATGTTTTTTTTATCACTGCAAGTCAGAAGACTTTACACGTATTTAGTTTTAAGGTCATTTGCAGCAGGAGGAAAAATAATGCCTCTTGGACTACACCGTCTTTCAATATAATAAAAATGTATCTGTACACCCACCATCAACCCTGACCTCCTCCCTACAAGAACTTTGCACTTGGACTGAAAAAACAGATGCCAGTAAACATAATGCGGGCAGCAGTTAGCCTACATGTCCTTCAAAACACATCTGGCAAAACGCATAAAGTAGAATATAATTTAATATTTATTTTGGGAGACAAGGTTGAGAAAAACCCAATTCTTCAGTTCCACCTCTGGGACGCCTCGTAATTGGTTGTCTTTTTTCATGTTACTTTTGTTACACTCCAACTGTGCCTGAGATCTGCAAATGTGTGTGTGTAAAGGTTTTCTTTACCCTGGGCCAAGGCTCACAGGCTCACGCTGCTGTACATTCACGGGCAAGTCAAGGTACAGAATGAGCGCAATCTCTCCAAGTGAATTCTATCTACAGACCACTCTACTTGCTCCATCAACCATCAAGTGCAGCATTAGTCGACCATTTACAAAAAGTCTATTGCATAGTGTTGCAAAATCAATCAAATGTAACAGATAAATGAATTATACAGATTAAAAAAACTATTTACAAACAAAACACACACACACACACACACACACACACACACACACACACACACACACACACACACACACACACACACACACACTTCAAAAAACAGACTGGCTGGTGCCTGGGTAGCCCCAGGGGTGTGTGTTGCTGCCTTAATGACGTGCTTAGATCCAGATCAAGCTGTAGTGTTTCCTCAACCTCACTCAGGAAGGAGGGATGATCCAGGGGCCCCCCCCCCCCCTCCTCCTCCTTCTACTACTACTCCTCAACTCCTTCTCTTTATCTCCTTTCATGGTGGAATTCATGTTGAATTGTCTTTTAGCTTTTCCTCTCCTCTCCTCTCCTCCACTCCTCTCCTCCTCCTCTTCCACTCCTCTCCTCTCCTCTCTAAACCATTTTAACAGATCTGTCTGACTCCAGCCAAGACCCGCTCTGTCACTTCATTAAGTTGCAATTACACTGACAAACTCAAGTGCAGCCGTCATTGTTGTTTTTCCATCGTCTTGTGTGTGGAACGTTGTGGTTTCTATGGTTTTTTTCACTGCTGAATGAGCAGCATGGGACACTGAACCCAGTTCAATGTTTTGCTAAATGGCAAGTACTGCATCTCTTTGTGTGTGTGTGTGTGTGTGTGTGTGTGTGTGTGTGTGTGTGTTAGATAAAAATTAAGCCTTACAACAAGTTGCGTCTGTCTACAAGACAGATACAGACAGAAGAAACACACAGCTCAGAAGGTGAGAGTTAAAAGGTGTGTGTGCGTGGTGAGTGGTGGGGAGGATATTTTTCCCTCTGTCTCACTCTCGGATTTTCCAGACGTCAAAGGTCAGCTCTAATTGGCTTAATGGACTGTTCCGACCTAAAACAAGCAGATCTCAGGTCGGCCTGGATCAGAGGCCAACGAGGACCTGAAGAGCAACAAACCAGTAAACAGACTGGTGTTAGACACAACACTGCCATCCAGCAACCAGATAGAGTTACTGAGAAGCTCCCTCTGTGGACTCAGACAGAGGTCTTTATCACAGACACGTTGCAGTGTCAAAGATGTAGGCTGAATCTGAATCTCCACACTCACAAACTTTGAGGCGCATTTCCGGTAAGTCAGCGAGGATTTGGGGCTGTGCCACTGTTGATAAAAGTGCACCAGGGCTCTCTTGCAGACTTTTTGAGCCCTTTATGCAGACTTTCCGTAAGTCCACATCTCTGCTAAACACGGTTTACCAGGGGCAGCCTGGAGGCATTAAAAAAAGGTAAACACACATGGAAGGAGAAACTAGAAGAATAAACAAGTTTATATGAAAGTGTATGATGCTGTTTTGATAAAAATTACGAAACAGATTATTTGAAATTAATGATTATTGAAGAAAGTAAAAAACGTAAAATAAAAACTCCGCAATGCACAATTAAACATAACATGTTGTGGCGTTATCAACATAATGTGATAGTTTGCAAGGTGCTGTCCCATTAAACCATTTTGGGTCCTTGCAGCCTCTTGCACTCACCAGGCGACTTCAGCTAAGTTGGTTGACACACATTCAGATTTACCAACATTTGTGTTTTGAAACTTACAGTAAAATGTATAAAATCCAAATGGAGGTGGGACAGAGATCTGCTCTGCCCTGCTCTTCTCTTTGTCTCTCACACCTTCCATAGTTTGCCTGCAAGGCCTATTCCTTCAGTCACTGTGTAGTGATGACAATATCAGACCCTACTACTGAGAAAGTCAGTCATGCAGAGCAATAGTTGTACTGTCGCTCTTGTCTCCCATTACTGCTGATCAGATGAAAAAGCGACAGTATATGCAGCAGAGTGCAGAGTGTGTTTGGTTGGTACAGAAATGACAGTGACACAAGTTCTAATCCACATCCCACCTTATGTCCTGGGCTGCACCTGAAGGATCTTTGCACGGCTGATCCATCCCAGGCAATCTTCTGCAGATATGACCAGACATCCAGCATTCATTGGGTCAAAGAAAGACATTTGATCATGTGTCTGGTGGTGATAAACTGCCCACCTCCATGAGGACAAGAGGGCCTCTGTGGGGTTGATGAATGGAGAGTAAGGTGGCTGGAAGAGATGATTAAACACCACATCATCCCATACAATTACAAAATGTTCCACCTCACTCGCCCCCTTTCCTCACCTGGCACAGGTCTTTCATAGTGGTCATCAAGGAATGAAACAGGTGTATGCAGGTTTTCACAATTGTTTACACACTCAAATTAAATATTAATTAATGAATTAATATAAAATGCAAGCTCTTCTCTTTTGGAGGAAATGGAGGTCAATGGTGAAGCCAGAGCTAGAGGTAAGAGGAGGAACAAGAGAATGAGGAAGGACAGTTATCTCAGATGAAATCACGGACTAAGTATGAGAAAGGCTGGGCAGAGAGTTCAGCCCAATCTGAGCTGCTACACACAGTTGCATCTATCTTCCTTACATCCAGTAATGAGAACCGGTAAGCTACCTATTGGCTACACTATGCCACTGCTCTTTATGTACAGTATGTGTAATGTAGTACTGCAGTCTGACATATAAAGCCCTGGACATACTTGCTTTATCCTGCGTTCCTTTGGAGTGTAGGTTGTGAACATCTCCAGAAATTAACGTTACGCGTCCGCAAGATGCAATTCAGCACATGACCGTGGGGGCAGTATTTCGATCTGACCGGCAGGTCAGCAGCAATCTACTGTTCCATACACCAGCCCAGGTGGTGGCGGTATGCAGTTGGTTTGCCAACCACCATTAAACGCAAAAGAAGAAGAAGGTCAGCAGCATAAGTGTTGGCAAGAGATGATCCGGCCCTGATCTGCCCCCTAGTGGATTCACTTTCAATCCTCCAGGTACACGCAAAGTACGCAGGTTAAGTATGTCAACAATGCCATTTGCGTCGCCGACGCCTGTCTACGCCTACGCATTGTTGGTAGGTAGGTTTATTGTCACAATACAACAAGTTATAGAGTGGAATTGAGTTGTAACTCCCTTCTGCTACATAGCAGACATCATTACTGGAGCAGTGCTGAGGATGAATTGGAGTTTAAGAGTCTGATTGCTTGGGGGAAAAAGCTGCTCTGCAGTCTGGTGGTGCGGCAGCAGAAACTTCCTTATCTCTTCCCAGAAGGCAGCAGGGTTAACAGGCTGTGGCTGGGTGAGTACTGTCCTTTAGCATCCTTTGTGCTCTGCGTAGGCACCTCACCTCACAGATAACACTGATGCTTGGGAGATGGGTGCAGATGATCTATGATGTTGATGATTGAAATGATTGTTAAAAAGCAAGAATGTCTGACACATACACACACACGTAAGCCAATGTTACAGTAATGTCACTTCATATATAAAAAAACTATTTTAGCTTACTGTAACAAGTCATATCATATTTTAGGATCTTCTGCAAAACAGGAGACTGCTATAATGACTATAATGATGGCAAACCATTAGACTACAAGAAATCCAGTACACATAATTGCAGACAACACAATATTCAATAACATTCATATGGGATTG